CTACAAAAAAGCATTTTAGGTAAAATGTGGAACACAAACTTTACACATAAAAAATAAATGCTTAAAAATGTCGTTGGCCCCAATCTTTCACCAGACAAATAAATCAAGCTGGTAGATATGCAAAGAGATCATCACTTTTTTAAAGGGAGGTAAAAAAAAACTTTGTTTGGACCTTTGATGGCTATTGCAGACATTCTATTCATTTGTATGAATGATTTGGAACATTGAAAATGTTGTTATTTGTTTTTTTTTTAAATTAGCTAAACTTTAAATATTTGAAAAACTGGGAAAACATAACTTATTTAATATTTTTGTTAAAGGTTTGAAGCGATTCAAATTTATCATTGATTTTTTTTTTCTTAAAGGAACACACGTTCTTGTTTAACAGAGAAAAGTTCATTGAAATAAGTGTTACAAACATTTGTAGATTTTAGAGAATAATCTATACTCGTAAATGCAACAAGAATAATGAATTATAGTTTATTCATATTCAATTCCTGTTCCAATGAAATGTATCAATTAAATTTAATTACTAGGAAGTTTACTCTAATTTTTGTAAAAAGCTGTAAGGAAAACGTTTATAATATATTAATATCTATATATGTATGTAGTGCTTGTGTTATATCACTAATTAAAGAAAAATAATGACATTTCAATACAGAAAAACTATTCATGTTGCCAATAAAAATATCCCTTTTTAAAATGATGTTTTTTTTAATTTCTAGTCTTCCTTTTTGTTTGTCTGGTATGTCTCGTCGGCATTCTGTCATTGCAAATTTAATCACAATTATATTAGCTGTTCAAATTTATAGCTTGCCTCATGTGGCATCTGTATTAGGACCCCAGAAGGACTGTGATACTACGTAAGTAAAGTCTAAAACCATTTAAAGGCGATGGGTGTAATATAACTTTTGTTGGAGATTGATCTAGATTTTTTGTTTATTTTTAAAGTGCTACAAATGATCTTGGTAAATGCTGCACAAATTATCACAGAGTCAACAATACATGTCAAGGTAACTAAAAGAATATTTATTTAGTCATGTTATTTTGGGTTATAATAATTTGTGCAAAAATGAATACATGTATCCTAAGAAAGTTTAATTTTATGTAGATTTTAACGTTTAGAAACGAAGGGAAATCCAATGCATGTTTTCTATTGACTATAAAGTAAAAGTTCTGACTTAATATCTAAAGAAAAACTAAAATGTATTTATGATTTTTTATTTTTATTTTTTTTTTCGTTTCGCTTTCAGAGTGTTTTCCGGGTTATTTTGGTGATGAATGCACTTCAAAGTGTATTTATCCTTATTTTGGTTACAAGTGTCAGGAAGAATGTATTTGCTCTGAATCAGACTGTAACTTTCAAAATGGTTGTCCAAAAGCTACAACAGGTACATGTATCTTTTTTTTAACTGTTCACCTACCTGTATGTACACATTTGAATTAAAAAAAATTCTTATCAAGTCTTCAATCAGAACGTTTTTGGCATTGTTGATTACCGGTTTGTTAAATATTATATTATACGATTGGATGAATAAAGCTTCGGATTATTTGACTTCATAATTTATTTTTAATTCAAGAAAGACAATCATCTTCAACAAATTTTGACTTTTCTAAGGAATATGTTTCCAAAACTTTCATAACAGAAACCATTACAGTTTTGCATCAAGATACTGAAAAAGCTAACGATTCCATGTCTGTTTCTTTCATTCTCATTGTGTGTGTTGGATCTTTGATATCCGTTGTGGTACTTATTGGAATCATCAAAACGATTGTTGTTTTTCTATATGTTACTGAGACCAAAAATAACACTGATACTTCCTCTGATGTTTATCTTGACATTGATGAGAATTTGCAAGTAGAAACTAGAGCTGAAAGTGAGACACTCCCTAGAGAACATGTAACCGTACGAGTAACAGAATATGTCAGTTCCTTCCATAAATGCATTGATTTAGTTGAAGAAAATGGAGAAGAGAATATGAAGGAAAGGGTATGCAAAAAAGAGTCCAAAACCAAACATTCTCCGACAAATAGCAGCGATAAAAACGATACACGGTCCAAAAGAAAACAGGTAAACAGCTGTGAATTACCTGAAAATTTTAATGACGATCTGGAACAGGGTTGTTTCAAAGGAAAAAATAACATCAAAAGTCCTCAAGGCATTGTATTCACTGAAAAAAATGACATAGAAGATAATACAGGAATAATAAAATTTGAACAGGGTGCTGAAACAGACATTTGTGTTGATTCCTATATATTTTTGAATAAACAAACAGAGATAACACATCTCTAGATTGTACAAATTACCATATATTTTTTATTAAATATTTAAACCGTTGTTTATTGTGCAGAAAAAAGTTTGATTCATATACATAGAGATGGAATTGTACAATTTGAAATTAATAAATAAATGTTTATGTCTACCTAACTTATTATTAGGGCATTATTAACATATTGGATTGTCTCCGGATTTTTTTCCGATCATCAGAAGGTGCACACTGCCGATATGACCGATCGACAGCAGATAGGAACTTATATTATGCCTTGTGTTTGTTATTTCAACAGTTTCAGAATTTTTTAATAAAAATTTTCCCTCGATTTGGGGATGCGTTCACTTTTTATCCCGTATAATACCGTATAAGTTGAAATTTTAGCTAGGCAAAAATTTACCGATTGTTCTCTTTAAATGGATGGGTTACTTTTAGCGAGATTCAAATTTAGCGACTTTAAAATGCTCACTTAAGAAGCTTTTACAAATAAAACAAGTAATTTTTAGCGAGATTCAATTTTAGCGATCTCATTGTCTCCGCTAACAATGCCAAATATTTACACTAAGCAGAAATTATTTGAAACGAATTTCATTTAAATAAGTCTAAATACATTGACTATCAATTCAACTTTCAAACATATGTTTAATTAAGAATTATATATTATTACTTATGAATTTAATGAATGACTCTAATTCTTGGCCAAATTATTCGAATATATTCTAGTTTGGGTCAGATTACGCTTTATAATCCGAGAAGCGGATTATAAAAAAGACTAAACTGACCCAAACCAATTTGAAGTTATAATTGAATAATTTGGCCAAGAATTAGAGTCACTCCTTATAATTTAATTTCAAAATAATTAAACAACTGTGGGTGTAAAATTGTGCTGCTTTTTCACAAGGGGAGGTAATAAATGAAACACAGATCTAGCAGCCATCATGTTTGTTTACACGAGGTAAGATCAAGATACTGTTTGAAGTTAAAGGTACCTTCATTAAATCTGGAATTTTCCATGAATCTCAAGGACTGGAAATGAGGGGATTGTATGGATACAGATGATTCAGCTGGTTGTCAAGGGTATGTGTCCCCATACGAAACCAGGTTATTGAGAAATATTTTGCGTTTCTTCTTGGAAATCAACCAATGAGAGACAAGAATACAAACAAAATTAAATTATTTGTTTTTAAAACAAGGTAAGCTATAGTGATAAACGAAATCATGAAACAAGGAACTCAACAGTTTTAACATCAAGTATTATGGGGTCATTTTAATTCGTGGGGGTGAGTGTTTGTTGGTAAGTAAAAGTTTGATGGTTCGTAGAGACATAATTTCGTGGATAAATAATATATACAAAAGATACAAAAAATAATACCTTTGTTGACAAAATAATTGTTCGCGGGGATGAAAATTTGTTGGATGGTTCACCCACAAAATAATCCACAAAAATTGGTCCACCACGAACATTAATGATTCCACAGTAACCATTTCGCAATTTTGATATCTATGGTAGATTTTTAAAAATGCTGTTTCAGGAAATAGATGAAGAATCTATCTTTAAGTTGGACGTTGACTGACATATTTCATACAATTGTTATACCATTCTTTTACCTAAATGGCCTACGGATTTTTCCTAATGCTGTGTTGTAAAACGTCAATCTGAGTTTGGACCTAAAAATTATTTGCAATAAAAGACTTGTCCTGTGTTTGAAGATTTTTATGTCTAAGATGCAAATATATATTCTCTCATTGTCATTAAAGTGGACTGGTTATGAGCATTCTGTATTTTTTTCTGCAATAGCGGCGACGTTAATTCCCATGGCAACAAACAAGGGACGTCATTTTTATTGTTTATTTTTACATTGTTTGCAAAAATGTATAAAGTAAAATTAAATATCATATGTATTGTTATATTTAAGATGTATTTGTCATTGTATACATAATGATAGAACAGCCAGGAAATCAATGCAGGTGGTTTGCTTAGTCTCCTGATAAGGAGCGTCCTAAAGGTGTGACTGGTCGGCAGTTGATGTTCTGATCTTATCGCTTCAATGAAATCTTGAGCTTTATGCGGTTGAATTTTGTTTATGAGAAGCTTCAAATTATGACATATATAAATATACAAATATATTCCTTGCTTCTCAATTAATATCCGAGTGACACAAAAATGTGTTGAGATTGAAATAATATGCATCTTGTCCTTAATAATCACAAAAGGCACCCATATCTTTCAATTAACTGAAGAATCACTCAAAGTGTAAAATATGGAAATGCTTCACGTTCAGCAATTTAACGAGATATTTTAATGAACAAAAATTTAACTGAATTACACATATTTATTGATTAATAATATTATAAACTGTATTATCGCACTTCATATAAATAATTACTAGTAAATTTACAAAATATAATTTGATTGGTTGAGACAGTCACTGACCATCATGTTTGCCTTGCATGTTGGAGGTCCGTGTCTGCTCTGCTCCTATTTTGTATTGTTTTATGGACTTTGATATTGAATACTGCTCGTTATCTCCATATCTTTCTTGAAACAAACGGTGTGTTTTACGTCTTGTTTCATGATTGTGTCGTCACAATGCGTCGACTGAGATTGTACTCTTTATATCGTTTATTTATTGTGTCTATTCAAACGTGTTTTTAACATGGGAGGGATTTTAATAATATTGCTGTGTAAATGAACAATTACGTGAGTGTTCGGAAAACATAAAGATTTTATTGCCCCTGGAAAATCATTTTCCCTCAGGTAAGCGCTAGTCAGGGGAACATAATTTTCCATGGGTTAAGATTTTTTTATGTATCCCTCATTACCATGCAATATATGTTTATTGTCAAATTTCAAAAAACACACAAATTGATTGCTGTCTAATAAATCGATTGATTGATTGTATATTGTTTAACGTCCCTCTCGAGAATTCGCAGTCATAAGATAAGTTGTGAAACAACATGTTAACAGGTGAACGATGCTGCAAAAAAAATGAAAATAAAATTGATCAAAATATAGAAAGTTTATTATAAAATATTAACATTCGCTGTGTTTTTCTACCAAGCCAACTGTGAAATTGAATTGAAAACCATTTTCGTGAATACTCACGCGTAGAATGTACACGGAGAAACGTGCGTTAACGTGACGTCACATTGAGGCTGAAGGGACATTAGTAAAAATGCAACGATTTAGGGCAGCGAGAAATTCAAATATTTAGCATATTTTAGTTGCTTCCAAACATGTTAAATGTAAATATAAGGAATGTTTTTAAGTTTAGTGTGAATTTTTGGTATGTGAACCACACAGACTTGCACATAGGCATTTTTTTTATGAAGCGCTAGCGCGCTACATGTAATATGCCTACGTGACAAGTCTGTGTGATTCACACACCAATAACTCACACAAAACTTAGAAACATTCCTTAATCTAATGCAAAAGTCATTTAAAGAGCGGAAATGTTTTTACGAAACAATTAAGTCTCTAGATTTATAAATAACTTTTAAAAAAAATATTTCCTGTTGCAACATTCGAGTTACTAAAGTCGCCCGCGTGGCGGCGCAGTGGTTTGAGCGTCAGTTCTAGAGTCGCGAAGTAGGGAGTCAATTCGTACGTCGCGGGTTCGAACTGTGGGACGTGGAGACCGGTCCTTCGGATGAGACCGTATAAACCGAGGTCCCGTGTCGCAGTAGGTGCTGGCACAAAAAAGATTCCTACCTGCTCAATGGCCTTGAGTGCCGAGTATATGACAAAATTTTTCTCCACCGGAAAGTGGTGGCGTCTCCATATGATTGAAAAATTCTTGAGTGGGACATTAAACAGTATACAATCAATCTCTTTCTCTGGAAAATGATAGGACCGTTTGTTATCAGAATACCCTTTATTAGCAGACATAATTTCCGTATTCCGAATTTATTCAAAGTCGTATACATGAGAAAACATGAAAGTTTATCTGTCATGTATTATCAGTTACTTGCACTCATATGTCGACTAGACAATCACTAAATGACGAAAAGAAACTTCTGAAACAAAAGAGCATTCAAACCGTCATTCTTATTTTAACTGTGTATTTTGGGGGAGGGGGGTGCATAGAAGTCTCTAGTATTAGATGAATATGAGTTTTCCGGCGATATTTTACGAGTATAGACCATATTAACACTTACAGATAAAGGGCATTAAAGGCACAATAAACCTCCTCCCTCAAAAAGAAAAAAATAAACTGACAAAAATGATTGTATAAAAGAAACAAAATATCTCGTGCTCTCCTGTCTCCTTTTTAATGTGACTGGGAAGGGGGGGGGGGGTATTAAAAAATCTCTTTTCTTCTAAAATGCCAAAATTATCGATCATAAAATGGAACAAAAACAATTTAATTAAATAAAAATCACTTATTCATTCGTTGTCCGAGGTGATTTTTCTTGTGCAGTTTTTAGAACACAACCATGGAATTGTGAGGACAAAATAATTGAAGTTATGTGATAAAACACAGCGTCATGACGAAGAATACGTATACTTTATTTGTAAAATTTCACTATTAGTTAGTCTTTGAACAACGCCATATTATATATCATTTGAAAAAGGAGAAAATTGTCTATCAGGATCACTGAACAACTCAAAATGTCAAAATTTTGACTTAAGGATGGTCTTTGCTTGACGGTCATCATATGGAGACGCCGCCACTTGCCAGTGGAGAGCTGCAAATATTGTCCTATACTCGAGGGATCTTTATCGTGCCAGCAC